AATATAATTAAAATATTTATTTACATTGGAATTTGACATAGAGTGTAGACTGAAGTAATAAACGGAAAATTAATAACAAATACATAATACATTAGCCTATCAAATAGAAACATTAATTATTATGCTTTTTAATTACTCGGCTACTGGCAGTATTAAAACAACAAATACATTTCAATTGCCATTTACAGATGAATACGATATGCTTGTAGTGTAAGACAATAATAGATCAACAGCTTGTTTTGTTTCCAAAAAAACTGTGGCTTCTTTCATCCATTCCTTAGCAACGACTCGTGAGCATCCTGTCAGCAAGTTTAAATATCGTAATGCTTGTAAAATATTGTCCCTATCAACGCAGTATCTGTAGCAGAATAAAAAGTGGATTTATATAATTATTATACAAATTACTTTTATGAAATTGCTTATAAGTACCTGGCTCTTTCAACAATTTCATAAGTGTTTAATTCTAGGGGATCAAATTCTTCATTGTTCACTTCATTAGGAGAAATATGTGAATGACGTACAACAAAGAGGCTAGCCAAATAACTAAAAGCCATTAAAGGTAAACTGAAATTATCGTCCGGTATAAGAGCAGTCTCATACACTCTTTTTTCTACTTGATTAAAATCTTCTTTTAATTGGCCTTTAGAAAAAACACCATTTTCAAGAGCTTTAGCTGGAACAGCACTCACTACTTCTTCCACTATTGAATCTGAAGCTAAAAAATAAATTTTAAACATGACCACTAACTCAACTTATAAGCTAAGTGTTATGGATTATGATTAACATAGGCGCAAATAGGGGGACATAGGGGATATTAACACCCCAATTTTAAAATTAGCACCCTCAAATAATGTTCATATTTATGTATCAAAAACTTATCTTTACAAAAAAAAAAAAAAACTAAAATGAGAATAGCTTAAGCACCCTAAGTTTTATTATTGAAGTTGCGCCTATGATGATTAACACAAAAATAATTCAAATATAGTCATATTGTACCTCCTAATTTTTTTATAGCATTTATTTGATCTTTTATGTTGATTGGCTGTTCGTTATCTGAACTACCAAGAGAAGTTTTTAGAACTTTGCTCACTTCCCAAATTGATTTATTGGCAAATATTTTT